TATTTGTAAACACTGATACAGTGTTGTATTTGTTCAGTTATTTGGATGGGGAAAGGGAAAAGTTTTTGTTGGTGTTTCGAGAGTTCAAGAAAATAAATATCTAATGGAATTTAAATTTTTAGGAATTGAATAAGAGATTGGCGTCACTGATCAACCAATCGCGATTGATGATTTTTATCAAAGGGGAACCCGATGCACCCAAATGTGGTTTCACCAGACAATTGCTGGAGTTGTTAAAGGATCTGAAGGCTGATTTCTCGTCGTTTGACATTTTGAGCGACGAATCGGTACGTCAAGGTCTTAAAGAGTACAGCAAATGGCCAACTTATCCGCAGATCTATTTGGATGGTGAGTTGCTCGGCGGTTTGGACGTGTTCCGTGAGGAGATCTCAGATAAAAGTTTTGTTGAGAAACTCCCAAAAATCTCATCGTAAATTTATAAGATTGCTACAACGCAACAGTGATCATGTGCCATGTTGACGTGCACATCAGAAATATAGTTATTTATCAAAATTTATCAAAATATTAGTGATCACCGACATCCTCAGTCATGCAAAAAAACTTCCATCATTCGATGTATAGGTCAATTATGAAGAGTGACTATCTTCCGTATGCTTTGAAATAAGCAAAATGTCCAGGAAAACATTCATGCTTTCATTCGTTAGTGGTAGAGTGGGTATCTTTAAATATCGGATACAATTATCATATTCAAAAATTATTAAACGAATCTGTCTTATTTATGCAATTTGAAATGAGGCGTTATCAGTTCACGTAAAGCTTGTGCAGTGTATTGTGCCATTTTTTAATTTAAGGTTATATCGAATCCCTCCCCTTCCACTCGTCCTCATCGAAACCCTGTTCGTTGTTCTGTTGTCTGTTATTCCGTTTTGTTTCCTTTACAATATATTTTACCACATCCATCATTTTTTTCTGCTTTAATGGGCCACTCGTTTTTGAAATGTTTTTAAGGATATTGACAAGCGACGCTTTTTTTTCAAAGTCGAAACAATATCACCAAAATTGTTGTTATTCAGTAAGGTTGTTGATTTAAGAATGTTTTTATGCTCATCACATGAATAGAATTATTCTGTTGAATTGCATTCAAAAAATAAACGAATCAATAGCAAATTCATCTGCAGATTTATTCATCTATATCAGTTTTATATTTGTGAGCATTTATTTCTTCACATTAACAGATACTGTTTCATTCATCAATTGAAGAATTAACTCTAAATTATTAGTTACATTTTACAATTCATATTGATTCCAACAAACTGAAATAAAATTACAAAAATAGACCAAAATACAAAATTACAGGCGAGGCAAGCACAAATTATAGTGGAATGCATGACAGAAGTCTTGAAAGACTGATTCAGCAGCATGGTACCACTTCCATGCAACACAAACAATACAATAATCCCATATTTAAAAAGACACTGAACATAATAAGTGAATTCTTCTTGCAGACGAAAGATCGAACGAATACTGTATGGAACTAAAAAGGCGATGATATTAGAAAATTTCTAAAAATAATAATAATAATCTTAACTGTATACACCAGTGACAAATATATCATTAATATCAATCCGATAACATAATGCACAAAAATAAACAATTAAACTACACAAAATGTGAACTATGGTGCAGTGCATCATTCCGATTCGCGAAACATTCCCAAAGCCTATCACAAATGAAGAGACTGTTGAAACAAATATAACGTTGTAATAAAGCAGTGAAAAACATTACACATGTAAATTGTATTTTTAAACAATTCACGTCATTTTGGTCAGTTTTTCCCGAAACACCTTTTCATTGGGGCACTTTCAACCAAGATCCCAACTTACTCATTTTGGACTTCGCACTATTCTTCCACAAGTTTCATTTACCAACCGAATGAAGCGAAGAAATGCTTGACTGAGCTGACAATAGGC